TTTTGTTTACTCCCAAACTGTGACTGAAATACTATTTTTAGAATAGAAACTTACTTTATTTGAATAAGTAAGCAATTATAAATGCTGTTGGCAAAACAATTCCTTAGTTAAAAAGTTCACAAAAACAGATTGAAAATGAATAACAAACATAATTATTTTTAAAATTTGAATATGCAAATTAGTTATTTTTATTAAGCAAGACAATATATAAAACACATGCACAAATTTTGAGCTTTATATATTAGATAAATCAATATAGCAATTAAATATTTGAAGAAATTGTGGGTTATGATTTTTTTTCATATGTATTAATGTTTATATGCAAATATTATTTGATTTCACTTAATATTTCTTTGATTCTCTTGACTATTCTGACTCCCAATTAAACATGGCATCATGGGGAGGTTTGTGAACTCACAAAATCATCATTTTTTTTTATACTCATTTGTTTATTGTCTCTTAGTGAAGACACACTACTTCCATTTAATGCAGATCATAAGATTATTGATTCAAACATCAGGATTCATTAATGCAAACTAATATGAGTGTGTACCTGTTCAAAATAATGTCTTAGCTTACAATCTCATCATAAAAAATTTAGAAACTTTTCTATCTTTTATACTTTTTTCTATTACTTCATCTTTACATTTACTGATCATTTGAACTGTACTTAGCAAAATTATATTTTGCATCTCATTTTGTATGTAATTGATTAAGAAAAAATCTAAAATACAAGGAACTTTGATAGTTACATATGTTTTATATTAGATATTGAATCCATTGCTAGATCAACAGCTAAGAAAGTTGGTTCGCTGTGTAGTGCAAGACAGTTTTTCTCTCCAGAATCTATCTTACATATCTATAAATCTACCAATTGTTCATGCTTAGAATATTGCTGCCACATATGGCCTAGTGGCCTTGCTATTTACCTTGAGCTCCTTGATAAAATCCAAAGGAGAATCAGCAATATTATTGATCCTGATCCGGGTAGCTTGGCTTCAGTCAATTTCCCACTGTTGTAAAGTTGCCTCTCTATGCTTTTTCTATAAATGCTTTCATGGCAATTGTTCGGATGAGCTCTTCATTACGGTACCTAGACTTTTTAAATTTAAGTCCAGTACAAGACTGGTGTCAAAATCTCATCAATTTACAGTTGAGTCGGCTAGATGTAGATAAATTGCTAACTGCTAACAGTTTCTTTTCCCACACTTCTCACTTGTGGAACTCCTTTCTAGGTTTATGCTTTCCAGCTAACTTTAATCTGCAAGAATTTAAATACAATGTCAATCACTATCTACTATCCTCCTAGTTACTCTTTTCTCTTCTCACTTATTATTAATGTTTTTGTTCCTAATTCTTCAACACCCTGTAACCCTTTGTGTCTTAGTGGCTTTACTGCCTTGAATGAGGTGATACTGCTTAAAAAAAAAATCAATGAAATTCTGTATTCAGGCTGCAACAAATTTACTGATGGTTTAAAATTGGATTTTCTATCAAATTTTCTGTCAGTATAAATTTGTGTCAATGGGACAATAAATCAAAAGTTAATAAAATTTGTAGTTATGTTACTTGAATCTGAACATTATTTCAAGAGCATTCAAAATGACGAGTTTCTTTTGTAATTCTTGTTTTGATTTTGATCATTAATTGTAATATTCAGAATAACAGTTATCCTTTATTTAAAGACTTGAAAATAAAAATTTTATTAAATTACATTTTGAATCTATAAAGTATCAGTTATTTTGTATCTTCTGCAGATGATTTCCAATCTATGCATATGAATTCTTAATAGTTATTTGCAAAGTACTCAATTTTGAATTCTGCTGTAATCATTATTGAAAGCATTCTTCCTTATAATTTAAACAAAGTGATCTTGATCTGCATAATTTTACAAACATGAATACAAAATTTATATTATTCTTAAAAACTAACACTGGCTTAGATAACATTTATATTGATTGCTATATAGTGACATATATAAGGCATTTGGCATAATGTTTAGTTGATTGTAGTCTCAAGTAAATACATTTTGTGTACTAGCTCCTTTCTAAGGTTTGATTGAACTTTTTTCAAGGCGATATCTATAAATTGTAGTTATAGGTACTACTTTGGCTTCTTTGTATTACTGATGTTCTAAATTCTGGCTAATACATTATATAGACTTCTTTAAGTTTATTATGTTACCTAAGATGATAATAAAAATAAAAGAAGTAATAGCAAAATATGTTTGACATTAACTTTATTGAATAATGGATACACTATTAATATTGTTCAGACTGTTATTCTCATCTTTACAACATTTTGGCCTTTATACCCTCTGGTCTGAAAGGGTGATATATATTGGAATTTCAAACTGAACACTTTATTTAGTCTACTGGGGTAGATTGTTCTAGTTCCATGGCTATCTCAGTTTTGTTTAATTCCTTTTAGTAACTCAACTCTCTAAGTTTTTGTTCACTTCTACTGTGGCCAGGTATTTGGGTCAAGTCACTGGATTACTTCAACCAACACTTTTATCCACTGGGCCATGTGTCCCTGGACAGAATAGGCATGACATGTGGAACTAGAACAATCTACCCCAATGGAGTAAATCAAGAGTGTGGGTCAAAATTCCACTGTATATCTGTTATGGTGAAACACACCTATTATATAGTTAATAGACTCTCCCACATAATATAAGTAGTAGTAGTAATAGAAATGGGGGTCAGTCAGTGAGTCGATGTCGGACGACAGTCAAATACGAAAGTATCAGCGACCACAACTAGATTACTCTGCATTATACCTATTATATCAAGTTTCTAACGTTTTGTATGTCAAACCTATTTTAGGACCGATTTAGTACAAATACAAGCCTCCACTGTAAAATCATGCCACAACAATATCACCTGAAGAAGGCTGGAGTGTACAATAGCCAAAATATTGTGAATATGACAATAAAGATGAGGACAACAGTTTGAACAATGTAAATAGTGTACAATACCTCATCTCAGAAATATAGACAAATGCATTTACTCTTTTGTTCCACTGCTTTCTGCCATTTTATATGCAGTGTTATAATTTCATCCTCCCAGAGATTTATCTCTCAGCAAAGAACTACTTTAGGTACTTTTTGCATTTCTTTCAGGCAATTGGAATTTCTTTTTATTAAAACACTTCTGTAAAGAGTGGAATAAATAATATTCTAAAAGTTCAATATCTAGTGAATGTAATGGCTGAGTGAAATTGTACTTTTTATATGGTCATCAAGGAATATGATGGAACATGACATTTTTTCTTTTAATTAATTCTGGATGCTTTTTGTGGATTGTTGGTTTCAATTAGTCTAAGTGGGAGCAGTATTTATTTGAATCACTGGAAGGATCTCATTCTAGAGGATTCTCTTCCAATCCCACTTTCTTTGGATAAGGACTGATCTTTGGTAGTGATGCTTCATTTTATTTGCCCTTGCATTCCTTGTTGCTGTAAAGTATCCATTTTACATTGTTTGTTACAGTTTGTTTAAAACAGAACTTTTTCTTATGTAAAAACAATGCATTTAAATGACTAATATAAGCAAGCTGATGAAAATAATTTTTCATGCTTGATTTGGATATTTTGACTCTGTTGTCTTTCTTCCATGTTGTATAACACAGATGATCCTCAAATAATGTCTTGACAGGATCACTATCAACATCAACTTCATCTATCCAAATATGTAATATTGTTTAACAACAGATTTCTAGTATAAAACTTTACAAACCTGTTTTGACCCATTTGCTTTTGTTATGAATATTTTTTGTGCTTGAGTAACATTTTTAACTTTTCTTAAAAAAAAGTATATGTTGATATTTTTCTAAGATAGAAACAAGCATAAAAATGTCAATTTTTGACAGTTTTTTCCAAGAATGCCCACTAATATGACATCTGTCACAATACATTCAAAAAGAATCTTTTTGAAGTTAATGTTCTTAATACTATCTAATGATAAAAACAGAATGAACCCTATATAACCTGTAAGAAAAGAGAAAGGTTTCTTCCCCCACTCCCCAAATATACATCTGAAGAAAGCTGTAGAATGGATCATTTAAACAACATCAACAATGCAGTACATTTCATTCATTGGAACAAGGCTTGGAATGTTAATGACTCTTCTCAATGTTACACACCTGATATTTACTAGTTCCATTGGTTTAAAAATTTGCTCAGATGCTCCTGTGTCAGTAATTGATAATATTAAAATAGTTTTATTATAGAGTTTTCCCTTTTATAAATTCCATTTTTAAAATTTCTATAGGTTATATTATGTTTATTTTATAGGGATAAATGTATACATTTGTGCACTATAAAAACACTCTTTACTTTTTGTAATTATTCTTAAAAACTATTTTGTGAAAATATTTATCTAATCTAAACATTTTTATAACTTGTGATGTGCAGTCTTTCTATTAATCTACAAATTTAAGTACAGTACTATATTGGCTCATCATTTTACAATTGAATGGCTAATCGTAAGTTTTATGCTAACAATTTCTTCTCACTTGTGGAACTCTCTTTCCAATCAACTTTGATCTTCAAAAATTTAAATGCAATGTCAATTGTTATCTTCTGTCTTCTAATTTCATATTCTTTTGTTGTTCTTTCTCATTAATTAGCTTTTTTTTCCTCTTATTCTTTTACACTCAGTAAATCCTTGTTTTAGTGGCTTTATTACCTTGCTTGGGATGAAATGATTAAAATTTGTGGCCGTTTAATATATTGGGTGGCACAGTCTGGATGATGGGTCTTAAGTACCTAGTCTAATATTAGGGACATAGTATTGAAATAATGCTTCAAAATTCATATCATAATGGGTGTAAAAAACTCATTTTGTTCACTAATTGATATAGTGGTTATTTTATAAAAAAAAAATGTTTAATTTTACTCTGAAAAATATTTTCTCATAAATATTCAAATAAATCTGATTTTCAGATGATGTTTTATTTAATGTTACATGTCATTAATTATCTCTTTTTTAATTTTAGTTTCAGCCTCTGAACCAACATGGCCAATCACAACCACAACCACAGGGAACACCAGTACAACAAACACAACATAATTTGCAGGTATCACATTCAGACAACAACTCCAATTTGAGTACTGGATCTATAGAACTGAAAGATGATGATGTAAGTAAAATCCTTTTCATATCTATAGAGTGAGTGGTCATTGTTAAATATAAATAAATAAATGGCTGAACTGCCCAACAAACAGATTTGACAAAGTTTGCAATAAATAATAACAAGAAAAGAACATGGCAAAAATAATATTAAGCAAGCAAACAATATATACAAGGCAAATTAACAGTAATAAAGTGAAGCAACAGTTATAAGGCTAAAAGTTCATAAACTAAGAATTGGGTCAACACACAAGCAAATTCAGATAAGTGAACGTACCATTCTGACTCCAAGACAAGACAGACTGGGACTGAGTCAGATGAAACTGAGAACTGGCCTATTTTATTGGCTAGGAAGAAACCCCAGCATGTGTGCTTCTGCCTATAAAATGGGAAGTGGGAATGTGTTTTGCAGTCATTCCAGTAGGAATTGAAACCAACAATATCTATAAATCTTCTTTAGTTACCTATCTGTTCTCACTATAATACTGCTTCTTTATTGTCTACATTAATTATCAATGTCTATTAATTAGAGAAACAGAGGATTTGATTCAAAAGAAAAATGAGATTGTACTTTTTTTTTTAATGGACAAACACATTTTTACAGGAAAAAACAAAACAAGAACTGACAAGCAACTTACAGTTTCACTTAGTTTATATATAGCAGTGAATAAAAATAAAACAGACAAATGGATAACTTTGCATATTATATTTAGAGGGATTTAATTTTTTTTATACTTTTCAAAAGGTTACTTGTTAGATATTAACTTAGTAAGTATCTGACATTTACTTATATTCAAATACCCTTGTGAAAGGTACTAACCCATCTCCACCTCCTAGCTATGGGTTAAATAGTAGGACTTGTATCTGGAAAAATTGTTATTCTGAAAAAATTGTTAATGCAGTATTCACTCACAAAAAGAGAATCATTCTTACAATACAAAATGTTTCAGTTTTAAATAACCCACAAAAGGTTGATAAACCATAAAAAAACCAATCAATCAATGTTAAGTATCTGTCTTTAAAGTTCAAAGTCTGTTTGAATATAAAAAAGACTAGGTTGTTGGATCTGAATTAGCCCATATTAAAATCTAAATAGTGTTAGCCTTTTCTTTGTAAATTTTACATAATATTTTTGTTTAAACTGTTTTAATTGAAACTGATTTGAAAATTAATTGTAATAATTCTTTTCAAATATCAAATTGTTTTTAAGAAAAGAACTAGTCAGTTTATACTCTACTTGATATAAATAGTGATAAAGTCATCTTTATTTCAGTTATGAAACCTGCATTCAGCATTTGATTACTATCAAAGTACCTTGTTAGTATTATAACTGACCTTTCTTGACTAGTTCAGTCTATGGTTGCTAACAATTTAACTGATTTATGTCATTGGTAGCATCTGTAATTCTGGGAGTGGTTATCAAGTTCTTCTATTGCATATTACAATATGTAAAGATTAATATCTAATTTTATACTAAGGTTATGACTTCTGAAACCAGTGATAATATCCAATCTAATTTGTATTGCTATAGACAACACTGACATAATTGATGACATCTTTTCAACTGGGAACTCTTGATGTTTTATTGGGAAGATGTGTAATCACCTGATGTCAAAGTAATATTGAATTTTTATTATTTTTCATTCTCTCTCACTTTGTTGTGAGTTTTCAGTTAATTTTCAGGTTATGCGTTTCTTTGTATTTTATTATAGTTTGCTGAAAATGACAGCAATGTCGTATGAAGATCAATTAGTATGAAAATCAGTTAATTACCTCATTTAGAATGGATAGCTTAATTGATACATTACTTATTCTTAATATTAAACACAACTAGTCCTCTAGGTTTTTAAATGAAAAAAAATTAGTCAGTATGATAGATTTTATTGGCACTAGTCTAATTACATAGAATAAAAGTGTTTTAATTTGAAATTCATTTTTCTTTAAATAATGTAACATTCATGAAAGTTCTGATCTTGACATTAGCAGACAAAAATTTTTTTTTTTGCTATTTATTCAAATACTTAGCTGTGTTCTTAAACACTGAGAAAAGAAACAATGATTTGTTTGTGACTGTCTATTCATTTTTGTAATAACAATAGTTATGTATAACAGATATACATCTGGAAATGAAAGTAACAACAAGTAAACCACAAAAGGTGAATTCATATTTCGTTTGAAAAGCTAGATGATTAGATTTATTATCTTGAAATTAAAATTGAAGTCCAAGGGCATGAATTAAAGAATTTCACTCATAAATGCTTATCTGGTTCGATTAAGGCATTTTTTGGTGCTGAAGAAAGTTTTGAATCATACTCAAAGATTCTAAAGCTATTTTTATAACTATAAATTCTAGTTCTTTTTTTTTCTATTATTTTAATATTTAGGTCTGTGTCTTCTGCCATCATCGGGCTATATAATTTGACTGATTTACCAAATCTTTATTTTTCAGTAACATTTTTTTCCCCACCCTACCTTAGTTGGTGTTAATAATTCTGTTATAAATTTACTTGTCTTCAGAAAATATTTGGCTTTATATTTGTATAAAAAAATTAGTTCTGTTTTACAGATCAATAAAATAGTTTGCCAAATAATGAGTGGAAAATATATTTATTAGGTAAATAATAAATAAAAAATAAAAACAAAAAAAAAAACAACCAAATGCAAAATTAAATTTAACAAAAGCTCCAATTGTGAAATTAACTTGGTTTCCAAATAATTTATATTTAAAATGTATATTAAGATTTTATAATCTGTATAAAAAGTAAGGAATTTTCCTTTGTCATTGATTTAACTACAGAATAATAGTAAATGTTAGAAACAATACTTATAACTTTAGCTAATGCTACATTCTTGATCTTTTTGATTTTAATTGAGACTTTAAAAAAATAATTCAATCTGAGTTTACAGTTATTTGATAAATTTTGACTAAACTGAAAGGAACATGTAATACACATTGATCACAGGGATTTCTGGACATTTCTGTTGTGAAGTTCATAGTTATTCCTGTTATTAATCTATTGTATTCCATTTTTAGACATTTGTTCATGTGAAAGAGCACATTCTTCTTGGCTCTATGGAACACATTTTGAAGGCAAGTGCTATCTCTGATATTGGCAAAATCTTATTTGTTCACATTAAATTGGATTAGCACCAAGGAGATGAATCTGCTGTTGATATATTGGTTTAAGATGAAACCACATTTCATCAAGTGCTCTGCCATCTCTCAGCCATCTTTCACTACCCACATATGCTTTCTCTATCCTTGGGGTTTCTGTAAATTTCTATTTAACTGTAACTTGCCTTTTGGGCACATGCAACAGTTTCTTTGTATTTTCAGCAGAGTTGAGATATCAGTTCTTGCATAATAGTGACGTTAACTAAGTAGACATTGTAGTTGCCATTTCTACAGATTTAGCAGCTGCTACAAAACAAATGTTATGCAAATAAAGACTGTGGCTGTGAAGCATTTTACTCATCACAATAGTTTAACATTCTATTTGACAACATCTCTTTATGAACATCTTTTCCTCCTATGTTGATTTTTTTTCTTAATAAAAATCTGAAAATTGTATTTGTTTAAAATTTTTATTAGATTAAGTTTTTAAAAAATAGGTAATGCCAAAATGAATTACTTTTCAAAAATTGACAATTTTGTTATATCCATCTTTTATGGTGAAAATATTTGTTGATGTGTCTCATTTTAATTTCTTGAAAGTTATACTCATTTGAAATTATTATTTTTCTATCTATATATAAAATTCTGTGACCTCAGTTAGTCTGTCCATCCATCCATCACACCCTCTAAAATAACCATACATTGACCAATCAAAACCAAATTTTGGGGAGAAGTGCAAACAAGTAAGTACAATTGGTCAAAGTACAGTTGGTTTTACTAGGGTATGTAAAAACTGCAAAGTAGGGTTTTTGTCAAATTATTTTTCCAAACATAAGCTTATTCTAATTTCATCAAACAAATTGGCTTATTCAAATTTCATTGATTTCTTTTCAAAATTGAATGAAACATAGAGTTTTTAAATTTCGAGAAAAATAAATGTTAGCAATAACTTCAACAATAATAAATACTGTGAAGATTTCAACACGTGTCTGTTTTGTAAAATAATTCTAGTTATTAAAATTTCTATCCACTCAACCTGTCCTAAAGTTTAGGTGGAATATATATTAAGTGATATTACTTTAGTTCTATTCATTTACAATTAAAGAAATTTACTTAATAGTGAATAGTCATAAAGATATTTTTATATTCATATATGGATAAAGATACATTTCAAACAGCCTGAAAGTAACTAAATGTTTTGTTCAAATATCTTTTTCTTAAAAATTGATAAATATGAAAAATACACATATACAAGGAAATATATAATTGTATCAGCTTAAAGAAAGCAGACTGATGATGAAAATATGAAAGTTTCATTGAACAATAAATGATGCTAAAACTGAACATGAAAGCTCAGGTATTTTGAGGCTTTCTCTGAACTACTTCATTGAAGTTTTCTATGCAGATAATATTATCTTATAAAAGTAATTGGATTTTTGTACAGTAATTTTATTTCAACAATTAGATCATGAGGAAAAACAAAAATCTCTTTAACATTTTTCCCCTGCACCCAATGAAGATTGGACTTTTGCCTATTTTCAGAGATTGGAAGCTTCATCTTTTCAACTTTTCATAAATTCTACAATTTTTGATTTGTTCTTCAATTTTCCCGTTCAGAATTATAACATAAAATAAAAATGATTCATGAGGAGCATTTTTCTGCTGAACTGCTATATAAAATTAATCTTTGTAAATAACACACGTTTTATATCATTAGAGACATTTCATTGACAAGTGGTACTAAAATTATATGAAAATTTTGGAAATCATGGGATTCCAATTAAGAGATGTAAAACTTATGCCAAAATCTTGAGGTGAATACTATTTATTGTTGTTTTACTTTTGTTATATGCCTCCTTATACTGTACTCTTTATGCTATGCAAGCTAAAGATCA